TCTCTCTCTCTCTCTCTCTCTCTCTCTCTCTCCTCTCTCACTCTCTCTTTTAAAAAAAAAAAAGAATTACAGCAAATAAAGTCTAAAGATTCTAGGAAAAATGATGTCCATCTGCAGAACAATGAAAGTGAACACTTATTTTGTACCACATAGAAAAACCAACTCAAAATGGACCAAAGACTTAACATAAGACCTAAATCTGTAAAACTACGAAAAGAAAACTCTCAAGGCAAGAGTTTCTTGACCTTAATCTGAGCAGATTTTTTTATATTACCTGAAAGAACAAGGGACAAAAGAAAAGTAGGCAAACTAAAAAGCTTCCATACAGCAAAGAATACAATCAACAGAGTGAAGAGAACCCACAGAATGGGAGGAGACTCTTGCAAACCTTGCCTCTGATAAGGGCTTGGAATCTGGAAGATAAAGGAACGCAAACAAATTAGCAGCAAAAATCCACTCATCTGATTTGAAGTGGACAAAGGACCTGAATAGTCATTTTTGATAGATGACATGTGAGTATAAAAATGCTCAACATCACTAATCATCAGAGAAACAAAAATGAAAGTCACTGTGAAATATTACCTCACACTTGTTAGAATGGCTCTTATCAAAAAATTAGAAAAATAACCAGTTTTGAGGATGAGGAGAAAAGGAAAACTTGCACACTGTTAGTGGGAATGTGAACCTCTATGGTGGTTCCTTTAAAAAGTCAGGAATATGATGTGATCTGACAATCCCTCTTCCATATGATCCATACCACCTCTGGGTACATATCCAGAGGAAACAAAGTCTGTGTCTTGAAGAGACATCTGCGCCCTGATATTCACTACGTCATTATTCACAATAGCCAAGCTACGGAATAACTTAAGTGTCCATTGGTGAAAGAATGGATAAGGAAAACGTGATTCGTGCACACAGAGAGGAGAATTACTCAACATTAAAAATAAGGAAGTTGGGCTGGGAATATAGCTCAGTTGGTAGAGTGCTTGCCTTGCATGCATAAGGCCCTGGCTTCAATCCTCGTACCACACACACAAAAATAAAATAAAATAAAAAATAAGGAAGTCCTGCTATTTGCAGCAAAATGGATAAACCTGGAAGATAATTTGCTATGTAAACCAGACACAAGACAAGAGCTGCCTGGCCTCACTTACCTGTGGAATCCAAAAAAGTCCGACTTATAAAAGTGGAGGGTAGAATGGTGCTTTCCCATGGCGGAGGGGTGATAGAGACATATTGGTCTCAGTGAGGCAGGATGAGTTAAGTTCTGGGGACCCAGTGTACAGCATGGTGACTGTAGGTAATAACTTGAAATTTGCCAAGAGAGTGGATTCTGAGTGTTTTATCACAGACACAAAAAGGTTGTTGATGGTTACATTTGGTTGTCAACCTGACTAGATTGAGGGACGCCTAGAGAATTGGTGAAGCACACTTCTGGCTGTGACTGTGAGGGTGTTTTCAGAGAAGATCAGGGTGGAGTCAGCGAACTGAGAGGAAGACCCACCCTGAACTTGGAAGCACTCACCCAGAGGCAGGGGCCCTTCTTGCGTGGTGTGTTCTGCTGCTGGCCGAAGTCAGACCCCAGATTCTTCAGCCTCTGAATGTTGAAGCACCAGCCGCTCTCGGAGGTGGTGGTGGTGGGTGGTGGTCGGTGTTCACGTCTCCAGCCTCGGACTAGAGCGGCATCGTTGGTCCCCTTGTTCTGAGGCTCCCAGCTTTTGGGCTGAGAAGCCCCAGGTTTGCTGGCCGCTGCGGGACTGTCCATCCTCCGATCCTGTAAGCTACTCTAAGACATCTTCTCCTGTAGTTGCAGATCTTCTATTTCTCCTGTTCTTCTGGAGAAGTCTGACAGACAGTTACTCTGTGAAGTGACAGGTATGTTAATTCACTTGATGGTGTAATCGTTTCACTGTGTGTGATATCAAATCATCACGTTGTAAACTTTAAATATACATAATTTTATTTGTCAGTTATGTCTCAATAAGGCTGGAAATAAAATACCTAAAATTTCTACTTCTTTTCCCTAATTCGGCTATAACCATAAGTAAGCACAAGTACCAGCTTATTAAACATTTCATTTTGATTCATTCTTGTATGTACATTCATGAGCATATTATATGTGAATTTACAGGTACATACACTTACATATAATACACATGTGTAAAGCTTTTACATAAATGACAAATGATCCAATTTTCACTTAATTATATAGAAAGGCATAAAAAAGGTATCACAAGAGCACATGTCCACAGTTCAGCTCAAAACTCAAAACACTACCCCCTGCTACACTCCTCCCTCAAACACATCTCCCACTTTTGAACTGCTCTCCTGAATGTGGAATTCATCATTTGGTGTAGTAACAAATTTAGCCTTTCCTGAAGAAAGGTCATTGCCCTATTCTGCAGATAGTGTCTAAAGTTTTGAGTGTCATGTCTGATAGGACTGTCTTTTCCTGGGGGCCTAAATCATACTGGATAATCCAAAAATGTGACTCAGTGCCCAGGCTGTTGATATTTTTAACAATGTGATTCAGAGTGGAGCAGGCCACAGCAGATAGTCTAATCATGAGACTTAGAATGTGTCTGTCAGGTGGTGTCAGCTCCACGTCAGGAAGAGCCAGGTACTGTGGTCAGACATGGAGGATGTCAACCACGCCTATGTGATGGAGGCCCAGGAAAAACCGGACACAAGGCTTGGGTGAGCTTTCCTGGCTGTCAACCCACCCCAATGTTGAAGAAAACAAATGAAGTCTGCTCTATTTACTCTATCTGGAAGGACATAAAAAGCAAAAAAAGTGCAATTATGACAATAAGAAATCTGACCTCAAATCTCCTGAGGCAATGAGCAGTCCAATAAGATAAGTGACAAAAGGGCTTGATCCCTTGGCCTGGCCACCAGCTGGGGACCATTAGTGGTAGAATGGTTTGGGGATGAATGTGGAGATATTTATAGGACTCCATGACATGGGGATCCCATACATGGTAATTCAAAACCCTGTGGGTGAAGTCCTAGTTGGAGCTGGGAAAGTATTGAATTGTGGGATTAAAGTTTGGATGAGCCAGGCATGGTGATTTGCATGTGCAGTTCCAGCACCTGGGGAGGCTGAGGCAGGAGGATTGCAAGTTGGAGGGCAGCCTCAGAAACTTAGCAAGATCCTGTCTTAATATAACAAAATAAAAATGGCTGGAGATGTGGCTCAGTGATAAGAGTATACCTGGGTTCAATCCCCAGTACTCCCACCTCCCAACTGGGTGAAAATTGGAATGGTTGAGGAGACTTTATGTAAATCTGTTTCCCTGAACCCAGTATGGGGATGGATATTGTTTCTGCCTGGAAAACACTCCCCCTATCCACTGTGCTAAAACAGAAGGCATGTAAACCTTCCCTTCAATCAACACTGATTTAATGTGCTAAGTGAGTACTAGTGAAGTTGCCCAAACCCACTCGATTATTAATTTGAAACAGTATAGGATATACATATGATGGGCCAGTTAGGACCAAATGTTTGGCTTATTTGGATTTTGGAGGAGACATAAATCCCACATCTAGGACTCTTGCTAGCTCCTGTCCATAAAACCATGCAAGCCCCTTGGAGTCCTTAGATACAGAGCTTTGGAAAGAGCTAGTGAGCCACCCAGTGGTGAATGCTGGGATTTGGGGCCAGAACGTTTCCATTTGAGAGAGAGCTAGTGGGCTACTGGGTTTAAAATCGCACCTATCACTAGAGGACATAAAGTAAGGGCCCAGTGATGTGTTTTGTAATGTTGTAAAGAAACACTCTAGTAAGGAAGGTCAGTGCAGAAGAGTCCATAATACAATGAAAGTGGCTTTTAAGGAACATCTACTAGAGGAATGCAAGAGGTACACTGCATCCATGAGTAGGTGCCTCGTTTCCCCCAGGATCAGCTTTGGAACCACCTAAGGGGCTGCCAGATCCCCCCATTACTTAGACGGTGCCTAGAAATAGCTCTTGATTGGCCGACTAAGAGCTGGCGGGTCTGTGGACGGAAAATCCAAAGGGGATGAACAGCATCCTGTTTGGAAGCCTGACACTCAGATTGAAGGAGGTAAAAACTAGTGAGTTCAGTGAACTGAACTGCCCTATCTTTGGGTTTTTACCAAAGATATGGTAAAAAATGGGCAGCGGCCAGTGGCCTGGTTGTGTAGGCAGATGGACAATGGAGAACTGGGCTACTGAAGGGATGCCTGTGGAGGGTACGGCCCTATGGAATTGCCCCCTGCCACCTCCCACCTCCTTCCTCCCCACAAGTCCTCCCTGACCTTTATAGTAGGAATTTTGGCAATTTTTAAAAGAATTTTACTAATTATGAGTGTATACATGAACACTATATTTTGATTTAGCCTTGTGTTTTTCCTGAACTTTAAAATGAATACTCTCCTATTTTATTATTTACTTGTATCTGGCTTCATTCACACAACACTTTGTGAAATTGGTCCACATTGTTCTTCTAGCATTAACTTATGTTTTAATTGCTGTGTAGTATCTTGTTTATTTTTCCATTCTATTTTTAATGATATTTGAATTGCTTAACTTTGGGCTGTTATAAATACTGTTGCTACAAACATTTTTTCACTTGTCTTCAGTGTTTATATGCAAACATTGTTATTGATTATATATCTAGGAGTAGAACACAGGGTCATAGAGTATATGTATCTTCTCCTTTGATAAATAATGTGGTTTTCTAATTTATATTCTCACCAATGGTGTATGAAAGTTCAGCATTATACATCTTTGCCAACCCTTGATATTGTCAGTCTTAAAATTCTCAACTGGATATGCACTTAAATCTTAATGATAATGAAAATTTATGTATATAGAATACTGCTTTTCAAAACTTGGGATGCAGCTAAAGCTGTGATCAGCCAGAAATAGAAAACCAAATTAAACATAAAGTAGTAGTAGTCAGGGAAAAACAAGTGAGGTAAACTCGTTCCCCTCTTTGGTATTGCTTTTTCTTCTTTCTTTCTTTCTCTGTTAGCTTGAAAACTTTATAATTCTTTTAGTAGATAGCCTGGGTCTTACAATATGTGGACTGAAGATTGACAGTTTTTTGGACAATGAAAGGACCACAGAAATTCCACTCAGGCACCAACACGAATGCAACCTTCTCTCCCCACCACAGCCACCGTCTCTCCTCTGGCCACCTGGTCTGCAGACATTCACCATCCAGGCCATTTCTCGTGTGGTGCCAATGGAACTGTCCAAACATCCAACCCTCCTGACCCTGTCCCTCCCTGTCGCACAGCCCTTCCACGGATCCCATTAGTTTTAAGAGAGAACTTAAAGAACCCAGGGGAATGGGGAAGGGGAGTGAAAGACAAGGGAAGAGACAAGGAGACATGGCACTGGGGCTACACATGGCAGAGTGTCCCAGCTGTCCTGAGATCTCGTCCTATATAATTCCTGCTTCTCCAGGTGAACAGGTCCTTGGGATGACCAAGGAGACAGATGTCCCTGCCTTGCCAAGACACATCTGATTCCCTCCACCACATGCTCTTGCCGCTACCCATCACCTCGTCCCTTCCGGCATACGGAAGGGCTCTCCTGTGCCTGAGAATGTCCCCACTGCTCAGGGGGCTGCCACAGCTAGAGCCAAGTGAGTGAGATGAGAAGCACGCTGGGCAGTCTCGGGAGCCAGGGGAGGGGTGGGCTACAGTGGTGAGAAGACAGAGGAGGTGAGGGAATAGGCACCAAACAACCAGTGCGGATTAGTGTCTCGGCTGGGCCAGGGCGTGGTGTTGAAGGTGAGGGTGGTGTGGGGGCTCACTCAGGCAGGCTGGAGACAAGGGAGCCCAAGGAGCTGATTCGGGTGTTAGTCGGTTCTCAGCATCTTCGTATCCCCTTGGGCACTCTTTCCAGGTGGTAAAGACAGTGCAGAGGGCAGCAGGGGACGGGGGTGTGCACTAGAACCCTCCAAAAACTCCCCATGCCCACCATGACCCAGATGAAAAGTCAGAGATCAAGGGATAATGCTCCCTTTCCTCTAGCAACTTCAAACATCAATGAAAACACACATAAAAGTGTAAAGACTTGTTCCTCATTATTGGAGTCCTTGTGAATCCAAGGTATTTAGCACATGGTCAACGTGTCGTCCCTATTCTATGTGGAGTGGGGGCATTTCAAACCTTCTTAACCAGAAAGTGCCACAGCAATCTTGGCTTCAGGTGGAGGCTCCATGGGAGGCCACCAGGGACTGGGAAGAAGGAAACAGAAAGGTGTTCTACTTGTCAAATGGGTAAATACTTCATCACGCACTGAGCTAGAAGCACTACAAATTCACTCTCAGATAATAACGAGATAGTTTTGGTTACTGCCCCAATTCACCAGCCTAGAAGCAGCAAAGAGAAGGGAAGCGATTCGCCCAACAGCAGCCAGACACAGATTGATCACAGAGCCTAAGGCGGAAGGAAGCTGGGGTGTGAGGAGCGAAGCAGAGGAGCTCAGGCCGGTGTCTAACCTGGGGAACGGGGATCGGAGGCAAGGCAGGAACTCAGAAAATCACTCGCCATCATCCCAAGGCTGAGCACCCCAGGGGTGGGGGATAATGGGGTACTGGTTTGTGAGGCCTAGATCCTGTGGGGTTCTAGAAAGTCTGCCTGAAGCTCCCTGGGTCCTGGGGGGAGCAGGGAAGTCGGGGTGCTTTGCTAACTCCCACTCCTTCTCCACAGCACCCGCCAGGCTGCTCGACTCCTCCTGCTCCTTGGAGAAGACACTGCAGTGCAGCTGCTCCTTCCACGGGGTCCCCACGCCCTCTGTGCAGTGGTGGGTGGGCGGTGTCCCTGTGGGTGTGAACAGCGTGGATGGCGGCCTCCGGGTGACTTCCACCACGCTTGGTCCCTGGGCCAACAGCACCATCAGCCTGGCCAAGGAGCCAGAGATGGGCACAAGCCTTCTCTGTGAGGGAAAGAACCAAAACGGAACCCATGCTGTGAGCATTCTACTGATGTCAGGTGAGTGGAGGACCCGGTGACTAGGTGAGGTCAGTAGTGAGCAGGGTGGGGCTGGGGGTTGGTGGGGGCACTGGCACTGCAACCAGAGGAGGGCTCTGAATCTGAGGTCTTTGGAGGGAAACCTTCCTCACGAGCTCTCTCCTTCCAGGAAGGAGTCCTTTGGCTCCCCAGATCTTTCTGAAAGGGCTGCTCCAGGGTGTTGTCTATGGATCTATGGCAGTCACATTGCTCTTCCTCTGCCTCCTCCCCTTCATGTGAGTATGCCTTAGTCCATTTTCTGCTGCTGTAACAAAATACCTGAGACAAGGGAATGTACAAAGAAAAGATGTTTAGTTGATTCACAGTTCTGTCTAAGAGCATGGCATGTGTCTGCTCAGCTTCTGGTAAGGGCCTTTTTGCTACATCATAAGATGGCAGAGGGCACTCCTTGGTGAGACAGAGCAAGGGTGCTACCTCAGGTCTCTTTTCCTCTTTGTAAAAGTCACTAATGTCATCATGGGGGCCCCACCCTCATGACATCATCTAACCTTAATTTCCTCCCAAAGGCCCAGCTCCAAACACCATTAACATGTGAATTGAGGGACTAGGTCTCTAACACAGAGACTTTTGGGGGCACACAGCAGATGCCAGTACTGTGGTTAAATTCTCCCTACTACCAGCTACCTACCTGCCTGCTACCCTGCATACTCTAGCTCTGGAACCAGCGCAGAGAGGACAAAGTCAATGAGCTCAGGGTCTGAGAAGGGTCATTACAGAGACACCAGGCTACACCTTGCCATAAAACACACCCACAGGACTCAGTTTTCAGTGCATTTTACAAAAGATAAATCTGGGAAAGAAGTGGTGGCCCTGGAGAAGCCAACAGAGAGACCACAAGATGCTGACAGAGCTAGGTGTGGTGGCACACACCTAGAACCCCAGCTACTCAGGATGCTGAAGCAGAAGGACTACAAGTTTGAGGCCAGCCTAGGAAAATTGGTGAGACCTTCTCTCAAAATAAAAGGGCTGGGGATGTAGCTCAGTGGTACAGTGTTTGCCTAGCATGCATAAGGCTCGGGGTTCAATCCCCAGTACTACAAAAAAGGCGTTGTCTGAAATGGGCCTGGAAGACCAAGTACTCATTTTGGTGGAAAGTAGTATATAGAAGCCCAGCAGCACACTGAGGCATTTCTCAGTGTCTGTGTGAAGTCAGGTACCTTGAAAGTGACAGATAATGGTTAAAAGTGGGTTGGAAAAGGTCCTTGGTGTTGTTTCATAAAGACCCTTGAAACTTTGCTGAACATACTGGCTAGGAGCCCAGAGTAAGGCAGAGTTGCTGGAGGTCAGGCCAAGGTTCGGGCATCAGGGCCTCTGGCTGCTTGGATGCTAGATGCCTTGGACTGAATATCTGTTTGGGAACCATGGGAGACTGGTAAGCTGGGAATGGAAGCATAACCTTGGGATGGGACAGATCAGACAGCAAGAGCCCGGAGGCCAGAGCAGGCAGATGGTGCCTCATCGCTCAGGAAAGAACCAAGCCTGTGCAGGGGCAAGTGTCGAGGGGCAGCGAGAGCAGTGGGATTGGGAATGACCGGCCATCAGAGGAGTGGAGGAAAAGGAGTGAGTGGCGGGGAAAACTGATGAGCTATTTTGAAGTATAGTCAGCTGGACTAGTGATCTCTTTACAGTGTACAGGGAATTCCCATTCTATAGGGTATGAATTCCCAGCAAGGTTATGTGGCTACCCATAGATAATACAGCAAGCTGGTAGTGTTGTTGGGGCTCAAAACCAGAACCTATGATCAAGACCAGAGTCCATTTGGGGATGCAGAGAGGTAGAGAGCCAGAACTGATAAGACGCTCATTTCCTTAGAGTGAAGCATATCAGAAAGAAGAATGCAAAGAAAACTGCAAAGATCAAAGCACAAAAGAACCCTGAAGTCAGTAGGCCAGAACCCAAGATGTCTCCAAAGAATGCTGAACCAGGGAAATCCATAGCTACCCCATCTTCTGAGAACCATATTTTGGTAGGTACCCATTATGCTTGGAATCCAGTCTATCTTATCATGATAGATAATTAAGACTCAAAGAGAGCCAGGTGCAGTAGCACATACCTGTATTCTCAGCAACTCGGGAGGCCGAGGCAGGAGGATTACAAGACCAGCCTGAGCACTAAGCAAGACTTTGTTTCAAAATAAAATTTAAAAAGGGCTAGAGATATAGCTTGGTTGGTAGAGAACCACTGGGTTTAATCCTCTGTACTGCAAAAATAAAAATAAAGTCCTACAGGAAGAGGTTAATACAGGGCTTGAGAAGAATCTCCCCTACTCAGTATTGATATATAAACATAGAATGTGCTTGCAGATCATTTTATAGGTGGTGAAGTTAAGGCCCCAGAGAGCCTTATGAAAGAAGAAAATTAAGAGACATAATTTAAAGAGTAATCAGGATTGCAACAAACACACATGCACACACCCAGCACACTGAATCTCCACTGGGAAGAGAATTGGGGACCCCTAGCAATGGTTGTAGCATCAGAGTGGAAACCAAAGGTTGGCCTCTGGGTGTTTAGCAAGCAGTGTTCAGCACCTTGTAGATGCCACAGGCCCAAGACGGCCTGAAGTGCTTGGAGGCAGGCCACACCTCGGTTACTCTTCATTCACACTTCACTCCCATCTTCTGCAGCACTTGAAAGGGAAAGTGCTGGAAGGTGCTAGACATCTATTGTTTACCATATCTTACTCTCTAAGACCAGAAATCCTCTGCCACCCTCCAAGCACCCTATGTGAAGAACTGGTGTCCCTTTATAGATTATATCTATTAAATACTACCAATGTTTCCTATCAAATCTCCTAATCTCTGCGCTGTGCAATGCTGGTGTCTCACCCAGGTCTTGCCCTCAGTGAGCAAACAGGATGGTAGAAAAGGCGCCTTCACAAAAAAAAAAAAAAAAAAAAAAAAATCCATGGGGTTATGGTGGCCCAGAGGAGGGAAAGACCAAACCTATCTAAGAATGTCAAACAAGATGCCCCAGAGGAATCTGGGGAATAGTTTGGTGACACCTGGTACAGGGGATGCACAGGGGCAGGACCAGAGGAAGAAGACAGGCTGCAGGTTCCAAGCATGGGATTATGAGCAAAGATTAAGCCAACACCTGATCCATGTTGCTTACCTCTGTACTCAAAGAGCTGTCCTTTTAAGATTTGGATACTCATCTCTAGGCTTGTTCCAATATCCTTCTTTCTTTGCTTGACTGTTCCATAACTCCTTCCAGGAAAGCAAGCTAAACTGCAGACAGTGAAGGCTGTGAAAACTCCATGACACCGGGAGTCCCCAGTATCCATGGAATTACAAAAGTCCACAAAACCCACTGAGTCCCTAGAAAGCATGGAGTTGATAATAAATCCAGAGCCATCAGAATCTCCACAGCTCACAAATTCCTCTCAACCCCCACCTATCCCTTGTGCTGGTTCTCCATGGATTGAGATTTACTCTTAAACCTGGCCTCAGAACCATTGTTGATAAACTGTGATTTGTTGTTTGGATAGCCCCATTCTGTGATGGTGTCACAAGACGGAAAAATACATGTGAAATGATGAGATAGCTCCATCAGGAAGGTGTTTTGAGCTTCTATCGTGGGACAAGAGATACACACACAAGAACATCAGGCATCTTTGGATCAAATCCCAACCTCAATGCTTAGTGACCGTATGCCTTTGGACAAGACCTTTCATCCCCCTCGAAACTTCAGTATCTTTACATGACATACACCTGGGTGAGCAAAAAACACGAGCATGAGCAAAATATCCAGAGATGAGAATGCAGAAGACACCACATGGGCCTGAATGCCAGGACCTGGCACTGGAGCTTGATCTCATAGGGCGTTATCCTGACTCTCAGAATGCAATTCCATGGGAAGAAGGTCTTCATCTCTCTTGCTTTCTAGCTGTATTGCCAGTACCTATAATTGTGCTTAAAATAAAAGAATCTCTCAAAATTCTTGTCAAATAATTACATGAATTAACAAGTGAATTATAAAGCATTGTTAAGGTTTGAAACAAGGAAGTGGAATGATCAGATATGGAAACAGACCCTGAAACACAGAGATGGAGAAAAGAGAGAGGCAAAGAGAGTCCTCGGGAGATTATTGCAAAATTTCTTGGCCAAGCTGAAAAGTAGGCAAGCAAGGAGTGAGAACAGGATCGTGGCATTAGGATGCACTATGGCTATGCACTGATCCCTTCAGAATCAAAGACAACCACCCTTCTGGATCCAGATGTCAGTAGTTTTCAGTAATTGAAGGAGGATCATCTCTTCCCTATGAGTGAACAGTGATCCTGCAACACCAGTGAGAGGCATCTTGTACTCAGAGTAGATGCTTTTATAACTCCTACAAGTACAAGCAGCTGTCACATGCAGTTCACATGCTCCACAGAAGTATAAGCACCCAGTTTGTGCAAGATAATGGCCATGTCCCCATGGAGTTGTGGTCTGCATGAGTATACCATGAAGACATACACAAAAATTTATAGTGTAAAACATTGAGCCAGACATGGTGGTGCATACCTGCAATCCCAGCAACTTGGGAGGCTGAGGCAGAAGGATCTCAAGTTTGAGGTCAATCTCAGCAACTTAACCAGACTGTCTCAAAATTTAAAAGGGCAAGTGAGAGAGAGCTGAGAATAGAGCCCAGTGGTAGAGTGTCCTTGGATTCCATCCCCAGTACCAATAAATAAAATATTGATAAGTGCTAGGAAAGAAAAGGACAATACTGTGAGAAACTACAGGAGAGGAACCTTGTTTAGATTGCAGTATTAGAGAAGGCTTCTCAGAGAGAGAAGCAGTTGTGTTGGTCCTGAATTATTATTAGGAGCTAGCCTGAGATGGGGGAGGTTTGGTGAGTTCAAAAGCCCAGGGCAGGCTCACGTGGCTGGAGCTCACAGGAGCAGAACTTACAGGGACTCCAGTGCTCTAGTGAGTTTAGCCTCTCTTGCTTTGTAATTTTGGAAAATGGGTTCATATCCAGAGTGATTATCTATACGAATCTTGCATAGCAGAAGTCTTCAGTTATGATTCTCTTTAAAGGTTTGACGTTTGCTTCTACTAAAGAAACATAATCTGCTTGAGAGACAAGAGGACAAGGTTGGGGAGAGGAAGCGTGGTAGGTGTGGGAAGCGAGAGGAGAATGAGATCAAATGAGTGGGAGAGAGGACCGGGTCTCAGCTGGGGCTCGGTCAGGGCTGGGCTGGGCTGGGCACGGGAATGGAGAACAGGGCTTCCTCACGTGCCTCGGCTTGTTGGCAGCAGGGGCCTGGGCTGCAGGACAGGAAACAAGGGGACGGACAGATTGCCTTCTGGTCCTGAGGGTGAAGCGCTGGACCAGTTCCTTGGTTGACGGCTTTCCTTCAGTCCCTCACCCGCTTGCCCACTGGGTCGAGGGAGCAGGGTCCTTTAACATCTCATTGGCCAGGGCTGGCAAGGGTCTAGAACCATCTGGACCACTGGACGCCAGCTGGACCTCAGAGCAGCCTGTCGAGAGCCCTGGCTCCGGCGGAGGAGACCAGAGCGTACCCCGCGGCCCGGCCCCGCCCCATCCCAGCGGTCCCCGTGCTTCGCCGTCCCTGATTGGCTCTGCACAGCGCGCGCATGCCCGTTGGACGCCCGTGGGCGGGTCGTCGTGGGCGGGGCTTAGCGGGCTGGTATCCCCGGATGACCTCCAGGGGCGAGGTTGGTGGCGCTCCGCGGGACTCGCAGACGGACTGACAAGCTGATCCGCTGATCAGTTAGCCTTCCGCGACCTTGGTCCCTGGCCCTGTGGGACAAGGACATTGACACCGTTACTCCGCGTGCCAGTTCATTGGGCTGAGTCCTTAAATCCTGGGCCAGTCTGTCCCTCTGGAAAGTAGTGTCTCCAGGCAGGGTCGCTGTAACTGTCACCTGTGCTTTCAGCCCAGCTGCGGAAGACAGGGAATAGCCAGGGGGAGACCCTGAGGAAGGGCCGGGCTGGAGCGCTCCTACCGGCCAGGAGGTAAAGTTGGTAAAGGAAACGACTGTGGAGGGGAGGGAAAGAGGCTGCTGTGAAGCCGGCCCGGGAGCTTCAGCCCTGGGGAAGGAAGAGATAGAAGAGATCAGACTGTTGGGTCTGCAGGACGGTCGCAGGCTCTGCAGAGAAACGCTCCCAATTTACAGATGAGGAACCCGAGAAGGGAAAGACTTGCCGGAGCTATCCACCGAGTCACTGGCAGAGCCCCAGCTGGAACCAGCCCAGCCTCTTCCCAGCCTTCAATCTGAGGTTTTAAATTAGAGGAAAAGGAAAGAATTGGACAGTGAAAAAACTTGAAAAGCGGAAGTTGGGTTTGAAGGAGAGAAACGGTTGATCCTCTGGAAGCCTGGGGCACGCCCTTGCTGAGAGAAGGAGGAAGTTGGTTCACTGACCAAAGCATCACTGGAAAGAGTCAAATGCCTGTAGTGACCAGACAGGGTAAAGTGAAGGATGATGGACACTTGGTTATTCAGTGCTTACGTTAACATCCGTGAACTCATTTAATCTTCCCAGTGATTCTACAGGTTGGGTACTGTTGTAAAGTACCAGTTACAGGTGAGGAAACCCAGGCCTAGAGAGGGGACATAACTTGCTCACAGTCACACAGCTGGCAAGTGCTGGAACTAGGCTTACACTCAGGCAGGCTGACTCCAGAGCCACAGTCTTCACCACTGTGCTTTGTACACCTCCCAGGAGTGGGGAGGATGGGAGAACAGGCCACTCCTGTCAATCTAAAAGAAAGATGGCAACACAGTATTGGCAGGGGGTTATAAAATACCAAGAGGTACCATGTAGAAAAACAGTAGCTTGAAGGACAGGAGATGACATAGAAATATAGTGTTACAAAGGATTTGTGTTGTTGTTGTTGGGAAGGAGGTTACCAGGGATTGAACCCAGGTGTGCTCCACTCCTGAGCCACATCCCCAGCCTTTTTAAAATTATTTTTTATTTTGAGACAGGGTCTCACCAAGTTTTTGCTTACAGCCTTGCTGGATTGCTGAGGCTGGCTTTGAACTTGTGATCCTCCTGTCTCAGCCTCCCAAGCTACTGGGATTTCAGGCGTGTGCCCCTGAACCTGGCTAAAGTTTTTTCACTATATGTGAGATAGTGTATTATTTGAAGATAGATGGTGTTAACGATTTGAAGAGATGTATTGTATTCCTTTAGCAACCACTTAAAATTATCAAAAGATATAACCAAAAGGCCAATAGTGAAATACAATACTGTCTTAATCCAGTACTAGACAAGAAGAGAGAAAAGGATGAAGAGCAGATGGGACAAATAGAAAACAACTAGGAAGATAGTACATTTCAAGGCAACCATATCAATAATTGTAAGAACTATGAGTAATGTAAGCATTCCAAATGAAAAGCATAGTTTTCTGATATTCATAATTTGTGACTTCTTTTTTTTCTTGGTCAGTTTATTCAAGGTTTATCAATTTTATTGGATGTTTTTCAAAAAACGAATGTGAGAATTTTATGAGCCAACTTGACTGGGCTAAGGGATGTCTAAATAAATTCCTGGTAAAATGGCAAAATATTTCTGGGGGTGACTGTGTGGGTATTTCCAGAAGAGACTGATGCTTGAATTGGTGGACTGACTAAAGAAGACCCCCCCTGAGCTGTGTAGGTGGACATCATTCAATCCACTGAGGGTCGGAATCGAACAAGGAGGCAGGAGAAAGTAAACATCCTCTCTTCTTGAGTTGGGCACATCCGCCTTCTCCTGCCTGTGTTGGAGCTCCTGGTTCTTGGGCCTTTGAACTCAGATTGGATCCCACCCCTGGCTTTCCTCGTTTTTCAGCTTGTAGAGGCAGATCCCGTGACTTGGAGGCTTTCCAAATCACATAATTGGCAAAAATTTAAAATATTTTTCTACTTTCCCTTGTGTTATGGATTAAATTATGTCCCTAAGAAAAGATATATTCCTCTCCCAAGTAAAATTTCAATAAATTTAAGAAATGCCAAAAGAGAAGAAAAGATATACTGCTGGGTGTAGTAGCTCAGAAGGCCGAGGCAGGAGGATCTCACGTTCAGACTCAGCCTCAGCAGCTTAGCAAGGCTGTAAGCACTTTTGTTCCCAGCTTATAAAGAGCATTTTTCTCCAGCAAATATTTAGCAAGACCCTGTCTCTAAATAAGATATATTTAAAAAGGGCCAGGGATGTGGCTCGGTGGTTAAATGCCCTGGGTTCAATCTCGATACAAAAAAAAAAAAAAGATAAGGAAAGAAAAGAAAAAAGGTCTAAGAATGTACCTCAGTGGTAAAGCTCCCTGGGTTCAATCCAAATAAACAGTCCCCAAATAAACAAATAAATAAATAGACTTTTCAGAGCTCTAGCCAACTTCCACTTGTGCAGTATTGATCACAACTATGTCACATGGCCACCAGTAGCTGCAAGGGAAACTGGGAGAGCATCCATGATCCCTGGTCTCCTAGTAGTAGCTGGAAATGTCCATCAGGTCAGCCAGAAAGCAGTGCCGGACACAAGGAACAGCTGAAACTCAAACTCGGCCATCCCAGGCCCAGGCCAGTGCTCTTTACAAGCCGGGAACAAATATTTACTGGACAGGAACCTGTCTTAGCATGGAGGACCCACAGATCTATAACGTAGGCCTTTCCCCAAAGGAGCCCACTCAGGTGGATTCCCTAGATAGTTATTTCACCCATTTTCCTACTAGAGTGACAGCCAGATGAAGGGGCATGGGGACAGCCTAGAGGATGGTGTAGCAACTCCACCAGGCCATTAGGGCACCAGGCTCCCTGTGTGGGGGTCACCGCATCCTTGCACCTCTGGTTTCAACCTCGTGGTGGCCTGATGGCTGTTCCACCTCCAGCATCACGCCCATATTTCAGGAAAAGGGAGAAGGAAGCAACAAGGAAGAAGTAGTGCCAACATCAGAACAAGTGAAATCTCCAGCAGGGAGCCTCCTGGGTTTGGTATTTTACGTAAAAATGTCTTTCACAATCCTTGCTTAATCATCTAGCAGGAGAGTGCAATGGAGCCTCAGACAGCACGTGATTTAGGAAAGCGGAGTTGTCAGGTACGGTACTACTGTCACCTGAGCCATCACCAAGGAGGACAACTCATCAGAATTCTGTTTTGTTTGGATCATTTTCATAAGACATGGAATGATTTCTAATGTTTTTGGAGTCTCATAAGACCATTTTATTTAAATTGTTCTTCCAAGGGCAGATTTGTATTAACAAAGACTAGAAGCTGTCAGTAATAGTCATGAATATTCATACCAAACTGCATATTGCAGAGGAGAACATAAATGATACCCTAATAAATGTTCTCTGTTTTGCACAGTATCAAATCCAATTCCTTGAGCCATTTTATAACACCCAACAAAATCTGTTGATTTATTGCTGCAGGGAAAGGAATGTCTCCTTCAACTCTTTCTGAGACTAGTTTACTTTATTGTGAAAACTTAGTTGTTTTTTTCTTTTTCTTTCTTTTTTTTTTTTTTTTTTGAACCAGCTCTGGGATTTTATTAGCTAATATTCCAGGCAAAGAACAGGCTTTCAAAGCTCAATCTTGATGGCATAAAGGGAGGAGGACGAATAGGTGTTTATTTGATGATAATAATTTTATAGCATTTGTCTTCCACCTGGTTCACTGGCCAGAGCTGTCACATTTACACTCTTAGGCATAAAGGAGACAGAAAAACAGAGGGTTTTGTTTGTTTGTTTCAAACTTGGGATTTGATTGCCTGAACAAATCTGAAATAAGGCCCCCAGGAGGCTGGGTATCAGGTGAGTCACCCTCAGGACTGCTTGAAACACTGCCTTAGAAGAGGCCTCAGGAGCTGATGAAGAGCCTCTGGGGTCCAGGTTGTGGGGATCCAGAGAGGAATTTCTGGCAGGAAGTTACCTTTGACCTGGGCTTAGAGGGAGGTGGGATTCAACGTAGGCAGAAGAAAGAGTCATAAAAGGCACTGGCCCAAGCCAACACAGAGAGGTAGGAACGTGTGGCGTATGTGTAGAAAGGACGCGTTTTCCTCTTTGGCTTGGAAAGGATGATAGAGGCACAGGGACAGCCTGGAGGATGGTGTAGCAACTCCACAAGGCCATTAGGGCACCAGGCTCCCTGTGTGGGTGTCAACCACAGCCGTGCTCCACCCCGCTCCACCTGGAGGATGGGTTCAAACCCTGTTCTCTGGATGCACAGGGCAGATACTGAGGACCTGAGGTAGGTCTCTCTCTCAAGTTAGATCCCTCCCTACATGTTTTACATGTTAGACTTTCTTCTGTATTGATGGAAGTCAAGAATATACCAGTGAGACTCGGGAGCTTGAGGCAGGAGGATTGCAGATTCAAGGCCAGCCTCAGCACCTTAGCAAAGGCCCTAAGCAACTATGCAAGACCTTGTCTCTAAATAAAATACGAAAAGGGGTTGGGGTTGTGGCTCAGTGGTAAAGTGCTCCTGGATTAAATCCCTGGTACCAAATATATATGTGTGTGTGTGTGTGTGTACACACACACACACACACACACACACATCAGTGAATGAGTGTGTGCTATAATCCCCTGTGGGAATTTCCCAAAGAATCCCCAGGCATTCCATGATGGTAAGCTACTGGCTCAATGAAAACATCAGCTTCTCTGCGGCTGCAGATGAACCCAGTGCCACCACTGCTGGTGATGCCGGGGACAGAGTCTCCCATTGGAAGGAGTCCTGAGGAACAAGACTGGGCCCTGCAGGTCCGTGATATACTCGAAAGGACAGCGTGGCTGCTTGTTCTACACAGATCTAAGAGAACAAAGTAGTGCTGTCCCTGAGGGATGTTGCTGACCTCCGAGTGTCAGGTGACCTTCAGTCTCTTGCACTAAGTGCTTTGCAAAGAAGGCAATCCAGAGGGGGTTCTGGTAATTGTGTCACTTTTACTTCACCAAGTACTTTACAAAACCTTGAATATTAAATTTTTACATGAACAATACCGTTAGATAAATGCAGCTGTTACTTTATTTTTCAGAATAGAAATGGCAAAGAGAAGGGAAGTGACTTTCCCAGCAACTTCCAGCTCGTAAGATAAAGAGGGGGACATGATCAGAGACCAGGCAGGAAGGGGCAGAGCCTGAGGAGGAGTGGGGTGGTGGGAGGAGACCCATAGGAGCTAGCACTGGGGACTCAGTCTGAGGACAGCCGAGGGACCAGGCAAAGCAGGTTCCCAGAACAGGTGCTCAACCTCAGTCTCGAAAGTGCAGAGGTCAGATTCCAGCTCTGCCTCCTACATGAGCCTCTGAAGCGCACTCACCCTTGCCACGAGGTGTGCCCTCTCTGTGCACAGAAAGGAAGTCTGGGTGTGAAAGTCCACCCCAAGATCACAATCCCAGGTTCCATGATGATGCTGGGAGGGTGGCAGCAGGGAGGGGTTCCAGATGGAAACACAGTGAAGTGTCCACCAGGGTCTCTTGACCCCAAGTGTGGACTCCCTCCCTCTCCTTCAGACCCGACCCAGAACCAGACCTCTACATCCCAGGATTCCTGCGGCGAGGGAGGTGACCTTGACCTGCACCATCCAGACACCCGCAAAGAGACCAGTTCCTGGAAGGAACCACCATGTCCTCCAATACTGCTGTCTCCAGCAATGACTCCTCCTCCTCCTCCTCTTCTTCCTCCTCCTTCTCCTCTTCCTCCCGGCTGCACCTCACCCTGAAGCCCGAGGACCATGGCACCATTGTTGGACGTCACTTGAACTTCTCCCTAGAGAACTCGACCAGAAGTAGCCTGGCCAAGCTCCAAGCAGTCTGTGAGTGCTGGGGACATGGGAAAATGGTGACCCCAAGAGAAAGTCCTGGGTCCTTGATTGCAACAGTCACATCTCCCCTACCCTCTGGGCCCAAGAGGTCAGGGTTAAGAGCAGAGCCTGAGTTTGGGGCAGATGATGGGGAGCCTCTCTGCGTCCCAGCCCCATCTGAGATTCTGAAACTCCCTGAAAAGAACAACTAAGGGGCTGGAGTTGGGGCTCAGCGGTAGAGTGCTCACCTAGCACCTGTGAGGCACTGGGTTCGATCCTCAGCACCACGTAAAAAATAAATAAAGATATTGTATCCACCTAAAAATTAACAAATAAATATTTAAAAAAAGAAAAGAACAACTAAGGGGAGAGCTGGGTCCTGGGGGGAGCAGGGAAGTGGGGTGCTTTGCTGACTCCCACTCCCTCTCCACAGCACCGGCCAGGCTGCTCGACTCCTCCTGCTCCTTGGAGAAGACACTGCAGTGCAGCTGCTCCTTCCACGGGGTCCCCACGCCCTCTGTGCAGTGGTGGGTGGGCGGTGTCCCTGTGGGTGTGAACAGTGTGGATGGTGGCCTCCAGGTGACTTCCACCACACTTGGTCCCTGGGCCAACAGCACCATCAGCCTCAGGGGGGATCCAGAAATAGTCAGGAGGCTGCACTGTGCGGGCAGGAATCCGTATGGAATCCACACTTCCAGCATCTTCCTGATACCAGGTGAGTGTGCTGGGGCCTGCGAATCCCCACCACAGTGAAGACACCTCAGGACCGGGACGGGATGGGCCCAGGGTGGGAGGAGAGAGCCCAGACCTCAAAGCCCTAGGAGAAAGCCAACCCTCGCTTCCCATCACAGGGAAGAGCTCCGTTTCCAGCGTGTTCCTGCGAGGGCTGGTCCAGGGCACAGTGTACGGGGCCATGGCGTCCGCGCTGCTCCTCTTCTGCCTTGTCCTCCTTGCGTGAGTACCAGAGTTCAAGGGCATCGCCAGCCTGCCCAGTGCACGCTGCCTTTTTTTATTTCCCTCCCGTACTTTCTTCCAGTTCATTTTGTCTGTCTCCCTTCTCGAAAGGGACTGCATGTCCTTGACCCTCAGCCCTTGTGCTTGATCTGCATTGAAGGCTGCAAATCGCCCTCTAAGCACCACTTTGACTGCACCTCATGGATGTTGATATGAATTGCTTATATTCTCATTTGGTTAGGATATTTCTAATTTCCATGATAATTTTTTGACCCACGGGCTTTTGTAGATATCAATATTTTCTAATGATCTTTTTGTTTCTAGCTTAAATTCAATAAGATGAGTAAATATACTATGTATTACTTCAATTTCTTATTTTCTTGTAGCACATTTTTTGTTTAGTTTTTAATACACATTCCATATGGGCTTAAAAAGAATATGTTACTCTACATTTGTTGAATTATCCATGATTTGTAGATAAAGGATTCATCCATGATCGTCATTTATCTTTGATATATCTATGATTCATTAATCAAGATCCATCCAGTGAGAGGCGAAGGGGCCCATCCACGCCCGCACACCACCCAGCTTTCACAGAGACAGGAAGCCCCCTGTACAACATGCAGACTTTTACCCATAATATCAAGATAAACAAGAATGTGCATAATAAAAAGTCCCCAGACCGAGCTGCACACATAGCAACAGGGTGGTAAGCTAGGGACAAGCAGGGTGGGGGCGCCTGGCTGAAGGGCCGGGTGCCACAGGAGGCCTGGAGCTGGGGAGGTGCAGGGCCATCTCTAAGGCCAGGTGGGCACAGACTGGAGGCCGCAGCCAGGAAAGAGGCTGGGAGAGGGTCCACACCCAGAGAGCAGGGGTTTGTGTCTGTCCGCTGGGGTGAAGCAGGCAGTGCTGATCACAGAGGGAGCAAGAGGAAGGGCCTGTTCTGGCTCCGGGCTGAGCTCCCTGTGGGAATAGTGGGGGAGGCGGGGACTGCAGTGGGACTGAGCCCAGCACTCACCAGGGGCTCACTCACTGCCTTAGAATGAAGATGTTTCGGTGGAGGGCCAAAGAAGCCCTGGCCCGCAGGAGACCAGAGTTGCTGGGGCAGCCAGAAGCACCCAACGTGTTGGAAGCTGCAACCCCACAGGCCTGGGCTGGAGGTAAGTCCCTGTGCCAGGCTGAGCTCAGCCACCAACCTGTGGGGCTGCAGGCCAGGGCCACACTGGCCCAGCAGAACCACCAGGGGCACTTATTAGGGACCGGTTCCTACCCAGCCCCCACACAGCACCCTTGCGCTGGCAGCAAGCTCTCCAACTCCTTCCAGTGTGACGCCCGCACCAGGGGCTGCGCCAAGGTCCCTCAGAGCAGGGGAGCCCTGTGCTGCCCCTGATGAGGACCCTCCTCACGGAGGGCGTCAGGCCCAGCCCCCAGCCCTGGGGAAGGCACTGCAGACAGACACAGGACAGTGAAGACTCTCAGCGGGGCTTCATTACTCTGCTGGGGCTGCCACAATAGAGCAGCACAGACTGGGAGCCTTCAAACACGGCAGTGAACTTTCCCACATTCTGGAGACTGGAACTGGAGATCAAGGTGTGGGCAGGGCCTGCGGGTGCCCCGCTCCTCCCTGCGTCCTCACACGGCCTTCTCCTGTGTATCTGTGTCCTGACCTGTCTTACAGGGCACATAGGATTAAGACCCCCACCTGACCCCACTTTAGTGTGATTACCTGTGTAAATCTGTCTCCCCTGATACAGTGGCACAGTGAGGTTCGGAGGGTTAGGGCTTCAAAAGAGAAGCCAGTTCCACCCACAGGAGAGGATTAAAGGGCTGAATGGATCCCAGCCTGTGTGCGGCCCAGGGAGGGCAGGAGGCTTGCCCAAGGCAGAAGGACAGAGCGTGTGCTTCCCCCACGGCCCAAGGCTCTGGCAGGAGAAGGCAGAGCGTGTGTTGTGAGCTAGAGGGTCACCACGTGTTGGTGCCACCAGTGCCGTCCAGCCTGCACAGACTGCAGAGCAGGAGCAGACTGCAGCCCGAGCTCCAGGCCTGGCTCTCACCAGTTGCTGGACAAACCTCCTATCCCCCCTCACCTGCCAGGCCCTGGGTGGGGACACAGAGGAGTCAGAGCCAGGTCCTGCCCATTTGGAACTCCAGGTCCTCAGAGCCCTGGAACTGCCTGGGGGCTGGGGGGGGAGGGCTTGGCAGTGTACCTGAGCTGTGCAGACTCCCAGGGAGGTGACGGCATTCCCCACACAGCAGGGACTCAGAGCGCCCGGGCAAGGGCAGGACAGACCATCCCAATGAGCCAGCTGGCCCTCGTGTAGCCAGATCACCTGCTGTCTACTCTTAGCAAAGCTCCTGAACACAGTACCATCAGCTGCGGCCCCAGGGTCATGTGAGCCCTGGGCCTGTGCACCCTGCGGATCTCCTCATTTGTGTCCCTTCACCACGTCTCCCTGTTTCTCCTCGCCCCTGGTAACCACTGTTTTATTTTCCATTTCTGTGTTTGACATTGTTGTTTTAGATCCTACAGATGAGTGAAATCATGCAGTATTTGCCTTTTGGTGTCTGGCTTCACGTAAGAGTGTCCCCAGGTTCATCCAGGACAAATGGCCAGGTCCCCTCTCTTTTAAAGGCTGTGTAGTATTCCAGTGTGTGTGTGTGTGTGTGTGTGTGTGTGTGTGTGTGTCCCTTCTTTCTGTCTCTTTCCCTTTCTTGCTCTTCCCTCCCCTCCTGCATTTGCTCAATTCCCACCTGACCCCAGGTGCCACACTACACAGGGCACTGCAGGGACCCGGCCCCGATGGGCCAGCAGCCCCCAGACCAGGACAGACTTACCACGTCAGGATGCGGGTGGGACCAGGCATGTGTCAGAGGACACCTGTGTCGCCCTCTAGGCCAGGTCACTTCCGGCTCCTGGAGAAGCTCTGCGGGACAAAGAGGAGAGCCGAGTCCCCAGGGAGCAGCTCCTGCTCTCATCAGCGGTCAGTTGAGGGGACAGGTAAAAGCCCAGGAGATGGTGACGGGCAGCCCCGGGCAGCCCGTGCTTCAGAAGGCGGTGGGAGCGACCCGGGAGGAGGCGCTGGCCGGGACTGAGCATGCTCCCAGCCCCGCACACCTTCGCCCACTTCCCCCAGCAGCCCATGCACCTGGCCAGGTTAGCAGGCCCACATTACAGAGGAGGAAACGAGGCCCAGAGGGGGCAAGAAGCCACCCAAGGGAAGCACCCAAAGTTCCCAGTGGGCCCCATCCTTACCCACAAGGAAGCTGCAGTACAGAAAGCAGAGGGTCCCTCCCAGGGCCTCAGCCTGAGGGGCAAAGGCAGGTGGTCTCCTGCCCTCTCCTGCCCTCCCCTGCCCTCCCCTGCCCTCCCCTGCCCTCTCCTGCCCTCCCCTGCCCTCCTTCCCTCTCCTGCCCTCTCCTGCCTGCTCCAGGGCCACACCCATCTGGGTTGCCCCGACAGAGACAGGGCTCCACCTCCAGGGCCAGGCCAGGCTGTACCTCCCACCCCACCCCTACGTCCATTCACCTGCACCCTGCTTGGTTGGAGGATGGCCGTGGGCAAGGCTGCCACCATCTCCTGGGAGGGGACAGCCCCCCCCCCCGTGGGTCACGGCAAAGAGTATGCACCTGTGGTCAGCCATGGGGATGCTAGAGCCAGGCCGCATGTTAGGATCCCAGTCCTGGCGCTGAGCACGGGGTAGCCGTGTCCCTTTCCCAGCCCGCATCATGGCCTGGTCACTCGGCAGCCAGCCGGGCGGCGTGGGCACCACGGCAGCAGCCCTTGTCTCCCGAGCCCTCTGTCCATGCCAGCCACATTCTGGGCATGTTCCACAGATGCTCCCATTTGTATCTGTCCAGGCTCCACCAGCGGAACAGCTCCAGCAGCAGACCCACCCTGAGATCCACGGCAGAGATGGGCTCCCGTGATGGGGACGGTTGGCCAGGCAGGTGCTGGAATCCGTGCTCCCCCAAAACTCCTGTGTTGAAATCTGACCCCCGGATTTGGGGAGGTGATTAGGTCATGAAGACTGAGCCTTCACAAATGGGACAGATTCCCTTAACAGGCGGAGTCCTCCATCTGCCACGTGAGGATGCAGTATAGACACCATCTGTGAACCAGGAAGGACCAGGGAAGGAGCTGGGCTGATGGACCCCCATCCACCCTGTGGGTGACGACATTCAGCTGCCATTCCTAGCACCAGGGGCAGGGCACAGAAACGGACAGTGTGTCCCCGTGTGTCTGTCATGCCTGATCTTGTCCCAGAGGGGGGATCTTTGAGGCTGAGGGGCATTTGGTCAATGAGCAGGCTCCTATCCTTCAAGAACACTTTGAGTGCCTGCTGTGTGCCCGGCCCTGAGGACAGAGCCCGAGGGAGGCGGACTGGCCCCTGCCCTTGGGGAGCGTGGAGTCCCTGAGGGAAGACACGGCACAGGTAGAAATCATAACAAACATCAGGGATGCGGAGGGCCAGGGAGAGAGGTGGAGAAGAGAGGGGTCCTTGCCCAGCCTGGGTGGCCGCGGAAGGGCTCTGTGTGGAGGTGACAGGCAAGGGAGTGAGAGGAGGGTCCCTGCAGAGGACCAGGTGAGAAAGACCCAGGGCAGCCAGAGCTGACGCAGCCAGCCGGAGAGTCTCTGGAGGGAGGCCGGGTTCCCAGGACACGCTGAGGCCGGCCGAGGACTCACCGTGGGTGAAGCCCGACTCCTCCTCAGTCCCCTCCCAGGAGGCAACACCGTCCTTGGTGCCCTGTGCTCCCTTCCCGAGGCCGTCCCCAGCTGGGAGCTCTGCCCTCACGGGGCCGGGAGAAAGGCTGCTGCTTGGGAGGCCGAGGCTGCTGCTGGCATCTGCAACACACAGGACGCTTCAGCACCGGGGACCGTCAGCCTGGGGGGCCACGGTGCCCAGGTGGAGCGGCCCTGGCTAGGGGCTGACGCACATGCAGGCCCACGATGTGCTGCTGCACCTCCAGACTCATCACACAGTGTCATGTGCTCAGCGTCCTCAGAACAAGCCCTCGAACCCGCCCCAGATCAGTGTCCTTTGGACGTGGTTTGTCCCACGGGGGTTCATGTGCCAGAAATCCAGTCCCCAGTGCAGCTCTACTGACAGGTGGCGGGACGGTCACACGTGGAGCCTAGTGGGGGGTGTGATGGAATGACCGTGGTGGCACCACCCTCAGGAGGGACTAATGTGGGTCTCTAAGAGAGTGGTTAGGTCTCCCGTGGGGCTGGGTTGGTTCTCAGGAGACTGGATTCTTTAAAAGAGTGGCCCCTCCTTGGTCTCTTGCTCACTCTTTGGCCATGTGGGTTTCCTCAAATATGCTCCCTCCATGTGATGCCATCTGCCATGTTGGTCCCAGAGGGGTGTCAGAAATCGTGCTGTTTGGACTGTCACACCATCAGAATCATGAGCCAAATAAACCTCTTTCTTTATACCTTACCCAGCATCCAGCATTTTGTTATAGCCACACAAGTGGACCAGGACCCCCAGGGCATGGAAGCAGCCTTCCTGGTGATGGGCATTCAGGCAGACCGTCCCCCCTGAGCACAAGGGACAACCCTAAGCTGCTGATCCTTGTCTGTTGCCTTTGGGCAGGCATGAGATAACTCTGCAGGAGAAAACTCGGGGCGTGGACTTTCCAGGTCACAGAACAGTTACATCACTTTCATGGATCAGGCCAAATTGCCCTCCACAGAAAGGGAGCCGACGTCATTCCTGTCAATAACTGGCAGTGCCAATCTCCTGTGAAACCAGGCTCCTTTTATTGCCCATACAATAGATGAAGAAATAGTATCTGTGGCCATTAAGGTCCTTTACTTTGCTTATTTGCTGTGAAATTGAGCATCTTTCACACTCTTGCGCCTTCCAAGCATTGTCACTTGGGCTTCCGGCCGCCACCTAGACCCTATGAAACCTTAGCACAAAGGAGCACACTCAGTGAGCAACCGCAGAGCCACTGATGGTGCTCGGTCAGCCGGGTCCTGCCAGGGAGGAGTCAGCCCCTTGCAGTGGTATTTCTTAAACAGACTTTCTAATAAAGGCACCACTTACAGGTGTGTGCGAGGTTACAGACACAGTCAGTCCCCAACCTAAAAGGGGTCACTTCACAATAAACCTGTGGTGAGTTGAAAATACCATAAATTGAAAATGCAGCCCACACACCAACTGAGCATCCAGCTGAACAGCACAGTGCACGGCAGGGATGCCGGTGGCTCACCCTTGGGACCCCAGGGTTGATGGGGAAGTGGCCCTATGGGCATGTGACAGTCCCACACAGCCTGTGGCCAGCCCAGGAGAAGGTCAGATTCCAAACTCAAAGCACAGTTGCTCCTGAATCAAAAAACAGTAAGTTGAGCCGCCCTAAGTCAGGTTCTCTCTGCCCAAGGGATGGGAAGGTTCCCAGCTTCCAGCAACAGGAGGGAGGGGTCTTTGTCAGGTTCTGCTGAGTCCTGGAGGAGCAGGGGGGAGAAATGGCGTAGTTGCCACCTGAAGAGGATGCCAATCACAAAGAGGGGCTGCCTGAGGATGTCGCAGCCTCCACTGCCAGAACTGAACCAAGGTGGGGCGGCGGCCCAGGGGTGTGATCTGCAGCCACCCACCAGCCTTCTGTCCATGCCTCCCTTTGTCCAAGCTGACCTGGAGGATGAAGGGCAAGGGAGCTTGCAGATGTGGCCAAGGTCACCCCTGGGCATGGAGCAGGCAAACAGAGGATGGGGAGGGATGTGGTGTGCTGGCCTGAGTAAGGGTTCCCAAGGACATCAGGTCAGAACCCTGGAACCTAGCAAGTTTATAAGACGTGATGACATGAATAAAAAAATTAAAATGTGATGAAGATAAGGATTTTGAGATGAGATTATCCTAGATGACGCAGCTCTGTCCTAAATGCAATCCCAAGTGTCCTTCTGGGAGGCAGAGGGAAATTTGAGCAGAGACAGAAGACAGAAGGCTATGTCAATACACCCAGAAACTAGGCAGATCTGGCAGGAAGCCAAGGCAGAGGGCAGGCACCAGAAATGGAAGGCAGGAAATGGATTCTCCCTTTAAAGCCTCTGAGGGAGTATGGCCCTGTTGACACTTGATGGTGGATTCTGACCTCCAGAACTGCAAGAGAAAAAAATGAGTTTTTAAAAAAATTTTTTTTGGGGGGGTTGTAAATGCTTTTCTTCCTTTCTTTCTTCCTTTCTTTCTTCCTTTTTTCCTTTTTTCCTTTCTTGTGCTGAGGATCGAACCCATTGCGTCACACATATTAGGCAAGCGCTCTGCCACTGAGGTAAAGCCCCAACCCCATGTGAGTTGTTTTGAGCCACCAAATATGTGATAATTTGTTACAGCAGCCACAGGAACTAATACACATGGGAGCGGGCATGTGGACTAGAGACAGCCCAGTGGCAAGCCCTCACGGCCCTCACCCTGAGCCAGGTGCTGAGCGAAATGCTTTCCAGGCATGAGGCAACTTGCTTACTTCCCAGGGCAACTCTGTTGGGCCACAGCCACCATCTCCAGTGAGGGCTGAACCTCAGCCTAGGGAAGGAGGCCCCTTTTCCAGGGTAGCTCCTTTGAGTACCCTCCCTGAGTCCTAGGCCATCCTTTTGAGTTCTTCTTTACCCCTCTATAGAGGACTACCTGTTACCGTCACTAGTTCCTTAAACTTTGTGTTCAATTTAGAACACTTGGCAGGGCAAGTTGCTAATCTTTCTGTGCCTCAAAAACACTGGGCTTATTAAAGCTTCCACTTCACAGAGTTGCCCTGAGGTGTTCTGGGTTGCCAGGCCAGAGCTGATCCACAGGTGCTGGCAGGCAGAAGACCCTCCACAGCGCAGGCAGGCTGAGGCCAGGAGACTCGAGTCTGGGACAGACTAGGAAACCATCTAAAGGGAAGCCACTGAAACCTGATGGAGTTGAGCACCGCTGAATGTCCCCTATACCTGTCTCCAGCGACCTCAAGACAGGAGCACAAAGCAGCCCACATAAAAATCAAACCACAGAGAACCCTGCTCCTCCCACAGAGTCCCTCTGGCTCCTTCTGCTGCAAAGGAAATCTATTGAAAGTCTGCAGCTCCATTTTTGCCAAGCAGGCAATAAAGGGTAGCTACGAAGCTGAGAGGCAATAACAAAGCGGTATTGAAGATTAAGCATGCCTAATTTGAAAATCTGGAACTCAAAATGCTCCAATGGAATCCAAAGCTTTTTGAGTCCTGACAGAACGCTCCTAAAACTCTGGATTGGGGAGCATTTCCTATTTCAAACTTTCAGATTAGGGATGCTCAACCAGTAGACTGTATGCAAATATTCCAAAATCCGAAACACTATGGTCCTAAGCATTTGGGAGAAGGGAAACTCAGGCCTGGGAGGGTGGGGTCACTTGGGAAGGACAGAGGCAGGAACAAATACACAGGACAAGCCAGTGAGACTCTTAAGTCCCAGAGAGTGTTCAACAGGCACAGAGGAGGGAAAGGATGCTTCAGGCTGCAGGGACACTTGGGGACAGCAGGAACAGAGTGCTTTGGATCACTCTAGGGAACACAAGCAGTCTGCAGTGATGGAGAGAGGGGTGAGGGTGGGCAGGAAGCTGAGCTCTGTGGTCCTGTGCTCCTCACCTCTGCCCTGGGCTGTCTTTCCCATCACCCCATATTGATTCCTGCCTCTTACTGAGTGTCTGCCATGCCCTGAGCCATCTGTTGTGTTAATAGCCCACTGAATTCTCTTATGGCCTATGAAGACTTCTGGTGACCCAACTCCCAGTTCTCAAAGTACAACTACTTTGACTCTCACTGTCTAGGTTAGGGAACTAAGGCCCAGAAGGGCAGTGCTACCTGTCCACAGACAGCCAAGGAGCCAGGGTCTGGACTCAAGCCCAGGCCAAGTGGCTCTGCACGCTCTGGTCTGTCCTTCACCACCTGTCTTTGGAGAGGCCTTCTTC